GAATAGAGACCGAAGGCGGAAGTGTGCGTGGGTGTGAAAATATATAGCCTGCCTAGCAGGCGCTTGGAAGTAGTGGGCGCAAGAAAGAACGGGCGGGCGAAAGGGAAAAACGCGAGGGGAGAGGGAGGCTCCCCCCCCCTCGCGTGTCTCCCTCTCGCGCGCCCTTCCAAGAGCCTGCTACGCAAGCTAGCGACTTCGGTAACACATGCAAATCAAAGTATTCTATTCGCTCGTTGAGGCGTTAAATGTGATCATTGTGCCAAAATTTTTGCCTGTCAAGGTAATTAATTCAGCTGATAATTTGACCATAGAGTCACATTTGTCCGTTAAGGCGAAAGAAAAGCTTGGCATGGGACCATGGATTTTTAAAATGTGTATCGCTCTTTGAAGCTAACCCCTGGCTAGCCAACCTCGTCCCCAGGGCGCTTTTACCTGGCTTTGGAGGTGGGGCGAGAAAAGGAAAATCCGACCCGGCGAAGCACTGATCCCTGCAGAAAAACACACCACACCGGAATAACCATTTTCGATGTTTTGTTTATCGTATGCGATTGTATGCTAATTTAATTAATACACCCACAAAGTTTGGGTGTTTTGTGGTCATTTGACCGGCCGATGCCAGGGCCTTTTCCCGTCCCAGCTCCTAAGCCAGGGAAAGCGCCCTGGAGACGAGGTTGCTGGCTAACCATTCAACCGTAAAAGTATTTGACTGTCGCGTTGGCAAGCGTCTGCTTCGCAAACTACCGTCGGGTCCAATTGCTTTTTTCTGTGTTTTGTTTTGACCTGACCCTTAAATCAATACCCTATTTCAGACCCGCCTTATAATCAGTTCCCTAGGTCAGACCAATGTTAAAGGCAATGTTTGTACGCTTTTATTACAAAACTGTACAAAGTTTCGAGCTTAAAGGGATATGATCTTATCGCCTAATAATGAAGAAGTAGCTTCTTCTTAAAAAAATACCCAATTCAAGACTAGAGTGCACAAACCATACCATATTTCAGACCAAAATGGTCAAAACTGATACTCTATTTCGGCTAAAAAGCCATACCCTTTGGCGCCGCACATACCTATATAGCCTGTATAAGGGAGTAACCGCCCCCTCCGGATATCTGCCTGCCTCTAGAATTTTACCCGAAGGGCTTTTTCCTCCTATAATACATCACAAATAAACAAATGAAAATAACCAATTTTTCTTCTAAAAAGGCTTACCCACCCTTATTCCCAGGTGTCAGTTTCATTTTCTTCACTTTATTTATTTTCAAACAGGCTGCGTTTTTTTGAGAGAATCCAAAAACGGATTTGTGATCTTAGATCATATGGATTCTTCACTTCCGAAAAAACGGAAGATCCGAAAAAGGATCACTTACCACGACAACAGCATGTCCTCGTGTCCCTCGGGATGAGAAAAATAGAAGAAAAATACCACAAACTGATCCTCGGCGGCAAACACAAGAGGGAAAAGCAACAAAAACTACGTATCTACGTACGAATACACGAAATCTATATATTTCGGTTTGAAACACGAACGTTTCTCGAACAGAATACTCCTTAGGGTAATAAAATCATAAGAATTTAAAACTAAAGCCGATGAATTGTATATTTTTCAATTACTTTAATTATTTTTAAAAAACCGGCGTAAGCAGACACTACATACGTACACTGAAAACATGTCAAGTAAGGGTTTAAATATAGTCTACGAATGTAAATAGATGACAAACATGGAATGATATGTGACTAAGGCGCCACCAACATAGGTACAGTTCAGTCTCGATACAGTTAGAATGTCATACATGTACGGCATCTGTGGTGTACCATGTTTGTGGGAAAACCACTTGTTAAAAATACTTTTTTTCAAATCCTTTCCCCCCCAAAAAAACGCTCAGGTTGTGAATCTCCAAAATTCTGATTTGAATTTGATTCGAAGAATCCACCCAGAGTGTGAATTTTATGGATTCATGATCCGTTTTTGGATTTGCCCAAAAAAACGCAAAATCCAGTTTTGGATTCGGAATTCCGGATTTGGATTTTCCCAAAAAACGTACCCACAAACTCCGTATTTTCTTCCAGCTCTGACCCCAGCATTTACTTTCAAATTTAAACTCCTAGCTTTACATAAAAGGGGTAAGTATAAGCGTCAGCATATTCTTGGACTAAAGATCTACCAAACTGACGATCAGTTTGCAGTTTAAAATAGACATGACTGGCGTTTCATGTCATCTCCTCGTCCCTTGGTAATAAACTTGCAAGAATACAATACAGAGTGTAAATGAATTTTACAGCAACCGTTTATGTATTTCCCCAAAACACTATTGCTTCATTTACTTAACTATCTATAAATAATTATCTCACGCTTTGTTTGTTTCTGTTTTGTTTCTATTTTTCTTTTCTTTCTTTTTTTTCGAAATAAACTAAGGAAGTGAGCTAATAAAGTCCTGGCAGTTGTGAGGATGCTGCCGACCATACAAATTCCATATTTTTAGAAAACAAAACTCCGTTTTCATGAAAACTTCCCCTTTTGTTGGGTACCCACCATGGCCGCCATGACGTCATCTGATGTCACGTTGAAATAATCACAGGAAAAAGAAGGCTGAAATATTTTTTAAATAACTATTCATATGAGGACGTTGGCCGAAATGCATGCCTTAAAAAATTACAACCTAGTACAAGCCACTCCATCTTCCATAATTGTCATAGATTTGGTAGTATTGGGCTCGATTACCAGCCGCTACTCGGAAAATGGGAAGACTAAGAGAGCGAAGGAAATCGATCCTATGGTAGTATATGTGTTTTATTTAAGTACATTAAAAAATTAACAAAGCCAATCCTCTTATTGGTATTTGTTTTCAAGTTAACACAAAGTAACGCTGTCTTTGTCTTTCCTCAAAAGCCCTCCCCAAAAAAACTTGATCATGAACTTGTCAGTACACAATGGTTGCGTTCGTTTACTTTGAAAATGAATCCATCTATAAAGGGGACAGAGAGGGCATCCCCCATATACACCCTATTCCATAGGTAATTCGTCTCGAGTTATTTTTAGAATCGGGTTTAAGTTACCTCGCGCGAGGCGTGGATGTTTCGTGGAGGTTTCGCATGACTAAACGCCGTGCAAAACATGTCGGGCGAAAGGCAATGAAAGCGTAAAAAGATCGAGAGCATTCCTGAATATTGAAGCGAAATGAGTCGGCGCTCACCTGGGAAAAAGGAATCGCTGGACTCTTTGACAACCCGTGAAATCAGTTTAACTCGAAGTTGTCGTAACCTCAGTGCTTTAATAAATTGAGAAATTTCGCCGGTCTATTGAAACCGGTCGTTTGTACAATAGGGAGTTTAAGATCCAACGACGCGGACGACAACTAGAACGTCAAAAAAAACAATAGGTTTAATTAGCAAAACAACAACTTCGCACCTGCAACACACTTTTTTGTTCATTTCTTTCCTGTTTTTGCACGACTACGACGTGAAAATGCCTAATTTCGCGTTTTATGGAGGACGTAACCAAGCAACGACGAAATTATATTTCTCTTTCTGAGCTTGAATATGGTCCCTTGAAATTCAGCTTCAGGAGGGTTCGCCTACAATTGACAAAGTAAGTGGGTAGGAATAATCGCTATAAAGACTGAAAAAACTCAAATTCACTTTTTAAGCGACGTTCTTGTCGCCGTCGCGCCGTTGGATCTTAAAGTCCCTTATAAGGCAAGTAGGACGCCAAGTGTTATTTTTGTTGAATAATAAAAGACTAATAAAGGAATAAATATCAAACCAGAAATTCCTCTCTTCAAACTGTAAATTATAAATGATCCTGAGAGAATATTCAGTGTGTTAAGGATTTCCCTGCTGTACTGTTAGCTCTATACAAGAGAGGAAGGGCGATTCTTTTTTAATTTCCGTTTCCCTGACACAGCTTTCGCAGAAATCTCGCTGTAGTCGTTTTCGTCGACAAAAGGAATAGCAAAATCGCTCTCCGCGTCTTCCCCATTTTGTTCCGCGTCAATTCGTGGAGGACGCGTGGCTCTAGCGTGGGTCGTCCACGCGGAATACATCCGCGCTATGTGATTGGCTGTTGTCCAATCCCCCTTGGGATCTGCGGTTCTAAAAATAACTCGAGACGAATTACCTATGGAATAGGGTGTATATGGGGGATGCCCTCTCTGTCCCCTTTATAGTCTCTTGATCTGTTACCTTTGTGAAAGCTACCTAAGCCACGATCAATCCTTAGAACAATCTCCTGGAATGTTTTTCAGCGAAGTCCTGGGAGAATTGATATTCAGTTGGTTGGCTCATGTGAAACATCTTCGACGCTTTTGCTATTCGTTTGGGTGGCAAGAAGCTCAATTCTAAAAAGGCTAGAAAGGTTTTCATCATTGTCTTCGATTATTGGAAACTTAGTTGACAAAAAGAGACGAAAATGCGAATTCCATAGACACAACTGAACACGTCATCTTATTTACGCACGGACGTGCGTAAATAAAGAATTTTTTCATAGCGACTCAATAGGACCTAAATAGGGTAAGCACGCGCGCTAAGTTATAAAGTCTAATTCACTCTAACACATTCTATTTCGGCGCTGTTGAAAAAATCTTTCAAAACGCGCGCCGTCGTCCACCAATCAAGTATTTGTCAGTAAAATTAATCAGAGAATATCACATGGCCGAGCGGAGATACGAAATTTCTCTTCGAGTGTTGAAAAATATTTCACGAGTGAGCGCACACTCGAAGAGAAATATCACATCTCCGCGCGGCCACGTAATGTTCTATTTATTATATAAACACCGATGAAATACCAAATAGTTTTTTTTTTCTGTGAAAGGCGCGATTAATAATCTAGCCATATTACAGCAATGGTGATCTTTTCCGACGTGAAGATATCATTTTTCGCGCGAAAGCTCACCTGGTATTTCATTGGTGTCTGTATAATAAGTCCATATTCTTTAACTCTTGTTCATCCTGTTTCACACTTCAGCATATTTTGTATCAGTCGATCAAACTCCCCCACACTATTAGTGACTAAACGCTGAATTTCAGTTTCATCTGGACATTTCAGATTGTTTAGAATACTCCTGATTTCCTCGACAATGGGGGCTGTGGATCCTTGGTTACGATCCAAAGATGAATTCACAAGTTGGATGATATCTCTTGGCAAAACTAAAGCGTCAGCAAAACGCGATGCGCGAGTCAAGGCATAAGACACGTTTCCGATCATGGCGCCTGCTGAAGTGGAAGTGAAAGTTGCTTCTAAGAAATCCAACTGTTCTTGAAGCTCTACACAAGCTCTGCGATCTGTGTCAATTGCCCTCTGGACCCTTACGATCATAAGTATTTCCTCATTGCTACGATACCACGTACTCCCTCCTATCAAGGCACCAATTCCGGCAGCCGCCATTAAACTTGCACTTGACCCAAAGGTAACGTATGCAACCAAACCAACCATAACAGCAGACGCAGCTCTTAACGCGGTTGCGGTTAGCAGCTTTCTTGCCACTTCTTCTAATTTTCCTTTAGTATTTCTTCTTGTTGCTAGCCAGTGGCGGAAAGCGTCATGTAACGCTGTGCGAAGTCTATCTAACATCTGGTTAGCTGTTACCAAAGTAGTGATACATATGTAAGTTTAGCGAGTAAATTTTACTGTAGCTACAGTCATTCGCAAGGAGAGAATCAAAATGGTTAACGATAGGGTCGTTTATATGAGATTTAAAAAGCCGCGGCTTACCTCGGACGTGAAATGCACTCAAATGTTGTCCACGGCTTGCTGAAACCGTGAACGACTGCTGCGCCTGCTCTGTTTTCAATTATATCCCAGACCTTCACGGCCGAAAGACACGCGCTGCAGTGGCGGGAAAATGACCTGCTGCACGACAGAGCCGGAAAAAAAGAAGGCATTGTAAACTGGCAGTCTTCCTGACCGAAGCCAATCGTTTCGCATTCTTGCTCGCTCGAGCCATAGTTGAAAATTACGCTAGGCACCAAAACAAGCTACGTCATCACTGGACCCGTCTGGCCGCGAACTAAGCCGTGAACCATTTGTACGAGCAGTTCGCGTCTAATGTAAGTGTTACTCGTGTAAATGGTTCCTTTTGCGTCTTGTGTAACTAAGCCGCGGCTTATTTTCTCTCGTATAAACGGTCCTAATATTTATTTTGATTCGGACAACTCTTCAATAAGTCAATCCTTTTCCCAAATATAAGCCATTTACACACTATTGTATTTTAGTACCATCATACCCGATATTAAACCTTGCAACTTTACAATAATCGAAGTTCCTTTAAGCGAGTATCCCTTTGAAAAATATACTTTCCCGTTAATATTGAGACTTTTCACGTGTCACGAGTAAATTCTAAAATTTCTTCACGCTCACGTAAAAATCAAGTAATTCACGTTTCACGGATGGGTAATCACGAATCGCGAATAAATAAAAACTTAACTCACGTTTCACGAGAAAAAACCAACTACGCTTCAGGGGACCCTCTTGTAGTGGACAACCTAGGGAAGCAGAAAAAATGTGTCCGAAACCCCTGAGAGCTGGCCGCTTAGAATAATCGTTCTTGTAAGCGAAGAGTTCAAATGTGGTTTTGCCATGGTGGCCGTAAGATCAGCTGTTCGCCTACGAGTGTTCTTTTATATAGCCGAGTTCCGCCGAGAGGTGCGTGGGCGAGACAACATTACTAACAAATTGGTATGGTATTTAACTGGAAACTTTTGGTCGTACACACGCAAAACAGGAACGAAATGCAAGATGGTACACTAAAGGTCACCCGGTGCTGTATCTTGGGATTTTTGGCGGAAAACACACCTACGTTTTACTACGCTTTGGAGAACATTCAAGCAGCCACCGTAAGACAACACAAAACAATACTACGTAAAGCAAATGATCAAGTCTGTTTGAACTCAACGCTTTTCGTGCGGCATAAACTAACAGCTTACATAAACAAGACATTACTAAACCTGACAACTGCGCACTTTCAATCAAGTTTCCGATGAATCAAAAGTTTGACAAGTGAACTACTCAACAACAAGAAGCGACACCTTAACATCATTTTTTTCTTGTGCCGGCGATAACACAAACATTTCATGGGTTTGTCTTTCCGACATTCTAGTATGTTTCGTAATGTATTTAATGCGACGTGCATATCGGTACTGCTCCTTCAAAGTGAGCTTGCTCGGTTTGACTTTGAAAGTGAAAACAAAAAGGTCGATTTCTGAAAGGCTTGAGAATCATAGGGAAGAAACCAATTATAAGCCTAATCAATTCCTGGCTTTAACGGGACGTACAGGATAGTACATATTTTAGCTCTCGATAACTCAAATAAAAATTTGCCTCTTGTTTTATTTTATTTTTTCTGTTGTTGTTATACTTGTTGTTAACGCATTGTTCGCTTAAGGTGGCTCCGTAATTAATACTAGAGCATTTTGCTGTGACAAATTTTCCGTCATAACTTTTTGGTTCTTAATGCGATGACTGCGAAACTTTACTAAGAACAATATATATCATTCGGCAACAATACGAAATATCCCGATTTCATTGATGGTAAATATTTCTTGAGAAATTAACGCTTAAAAGGACCCTACTGTTCGAAGAAAATCGCGTCTAGTAAAAAAATTTGCTGATATTTTTTACTGAAATTTCTGGTATCGGCTTTAATTGATATAATAAATATGCCAGAGGAATTTCAGAAAAATCGTTGGAGCAGAAGTCCGTAACTAAAAGTCGCTCAAAATTCAGCTGTGAAATTGTTTTGGAATTTCAAAAATAAATTACTATCAGGTAGAAGGAGCCACCAGTTTGAATTTTCGGGACAAGTAAATTCAACGTTTGCTAATTCTTAAAACAAAAGCCGATTGCCTATCGTGCTATTCTTTAAAAGGTACTTTTTAGTTTTAGAAGCACCATAAATTGCTCCAAACCTTGCTCTGAAGTAAAATGACTTGTTCTTCGACATTTTTAAAATATCCCTTTGCAGTTTTGCCTCAAACTCCCGCTGCATACATTTTGATGTATTGCAATTCATTTTCAACGACTTTTACTGCTGTTCGTTGCTTCCAACTCAGGAAAAAAGTATTGAGATTGGACGCTACCTCGTATCAGAGCTCAGATAGGACTGTCCAGCACCTTTGTTTATGACTACAAAATGAGCACGAGCGGCAGTTCTGCGAGGAATTCGCACCTCACCCAGGGGGGACGAACGACAATGATGACCATGCCTGTGAACCGAATAACATCACAGTGCAAAATAAAATTATCGCAAAAAAATACTGCCCGTGAATAAATTTACAACTCTGAAATTTTGTCACTCCTTCCTTCAATGAATGGGTATTTTTTCTTGATTATTATGTTTTGCTCTGCAATACATGTTTATACAGATCGGTTCACGGACATGGGTATCATTATCATTCGTCCCCCTGGCTGAGGTGGTGAATTTCGCAGAGCTGCTGCTCGTGCTCATTTTCTGGTCATAAACAAAGGTGCTGGACAGTTCTATCTGAGCTTCAATACAAGGTAGCTTACAATCCCAATACCTTTTTCCTGAATTGGAAACAACGTACAGCAAGAAAAGCCGTTGAGGATGCATTGCAATACATCAAAATGTATGTAGCAGGAGTTTGAACCAAAACTGCCAAGGGATATTTTAAAAATGTCGAGGAACAAGTCATTCGACGTCATAGTAAGGTTTGGAGCGATTTATAGTGCTTCTAAAACTGAAAAGTACCTTTTAAAGAATAGCACGATAGGCAATCGGCTTTTGATTTCAGAATTAGCAAACATTGAATTTACTTGTCCCGAAAATTCAAACTGGTGTCTCCTTCTTCCTGATAGTAATTTATTTTTGAAATTCCAAAACAATTTCACAGCTGAATTTTGAGCGACTTTAGTTACGGACTTCGTGCTCCAACGATTTTTCTGAAATTCCTCTGGCATATTTATTATATCAATTAAAGCCGATACCAGAAATTTCAGTAAAAAATATCAGCAAAATTTTTTACTAGACGCGATTTTCTTTGAACATTAGGGTCCTTTTAAGCGCTAATTTCTCAAGAAATATTTACCATCAATGAAATCGGAATATTTCGTATTATTGCCAAATGATATCTGTTGTTCTTTGCAAAGTTTCGCAGCCATCGCGTTAAAATCGACAAAGTTATGACGGAAAATTTGCCACAGCTAAATGCTCTTGTATTAATTACGGAGCCACCTTAATTTGCTAATTCATAATTGCTTCCAATCTTCTTCTCAGCTAGGAATCTCTCCTTTACCTTCGCGCATTCTCGTTGAAGACAGAGACCCTGGTTGTCGACCGTCACGTGGCACTCAGAATCTAATGAAATCTGGATCCAGAGACGACTTCCTTACAATGGATTTTCAAGTCCGAGTAGTCCCCGTTCGACATATTAAAACTCTCCATGTCATGTTAGAATTTAAATATACCGAACGTGGGCTATTGCCGTAGGTAAAATTCATTTTTCCCATACCCACCTTCAACGGTTGCTAAACGCTGTCGACAAGCCTTATAGTCCTCTTCCTTCATGTTCGACGTGAGTTTTAGTGAAGAAAGACCTAACTCTTCCAGGATGTCGTCTGTCACAAGGTACAGCTGGGCTACTTCATTTAGATGGCCTGTACGGTAGTCTTCCCAAAGATCATCAAGAATCTGCACCGATCCACACTCCAGCGTGAATATCAAGCTTCCCGTCTTGATATCAGCAACAGTGACTTTGCGCACCTCTTCCATGTAAATAAGAAAGCGATTCAACTCTTCCGGATTTTTTACGTCGACTTCTTGAAAGTACTTCCGTGCAATATAATTCAAAACCCCTTGTCTCTCAGAATCAATTTGATACTCTACAATACCTGCGATAAAAAAGAACCAAAATAACGAACCTAAACATACATTTATTTCACTGGATTATTAACAACGTGCAAAGCGGTTTGTCAAGAATCATTAACGAGAGTAAGGATGTCTTCTATGAAGTTTCGAGAGTAAACTATCGATAGCTCTGACTAGTACTTCAAGACAAATTTTCTGAAATTTGCCGCATTTACAAAGAATACATTGGCAAAACGGGTAGGTGAATGCATGAATTGATTAAGAAGCACGATAGGGATACAAGGCTTTCACCGAACTCAACCTTCAACCGTTTCTGAACATGCTAATAAGACCAAGATTTAAGATACCACAACGGCAACGGCGGCAAAAACGTCATTTAAAAAGTGACTTCACGTTCTTTGAAACTTCAGCGCCATTATCACAACTCGCTCACTTTGTCTAATATAGGCAAACTTTCCTGGAGTTGAATTCTTAAGAAAGATATTCAAGTTTAAATAGAGAAAGAGAAATTCGTCGTCGTATGTTCGACACTATCGACTAATCGCCTGACGATGACCGGCAGCACGCGGTCGAAACGTCGCGATCAATATCTATGTGAAAATCGGGAGCAAACGATTAATGAAACCCTTTATAGACAAGACTACCTCAATGTCAGTAATATCATTCAACTTAAATAAACAAAGATTTCACTTTTATTTAGTCGAAACCCATGTTTCCTTACGCCATGATGTCAGCAAGGAAAGAAATGAATGAGTGAGAAGACGGAATGAACAGACGAACGAAGAATGAATGTACGATCGACGAACGGATTAATAATACCTTTGAATTCGCTACTGGCAATAATCTTTATAGTCGACTTACTTGATCAGGGGAAGAACCTGAGAGAAAATCATCCCCGTCCAAAACAAGCCGAGTTAGCCAATGAACGCCTTTAGTCACTAATCCCGAAAAAAGCCTATAAAACTGGTTATACCAGCCACAATCTGGCAAAAATATAGAAAGAAGATTTCATCAAGCCTGAGAAAAAAGCAGACATTTTGTTTGCCCGCAAACTGGCGTAGGAATTCCATACTGATGCCGTATCACTTCCCAGATCTGGGTAGTGCTTCTGATTGGTCGTGCGGCGAGGGAAATTTGCTTCAACCAATCAAAAGCAACACCCAGATCTGGGTAGCGACGCGTCATCAGTATGGAATGTCTGAGCTCGTTCCTCATACATCATTTCCCGGGGAAGCCATCCAGTTGTGACGTAACGAAGTGGTGGCGTAACGAAATGTTGGCTGTTTTCTCAGGGCAAATCTCATCACAATATCAAACACCTCTTTTGCGCGTCCTATTTTCAACTCTCTTCTCAGTGTTTGATCGTAAGGTGATTACTCGCTATGTCACATGTTTGATTTATTACGCACATTGACGTACCTCCAGATTCAGGCTTAACATCTGCATTCAGGAATGATCCATTCCTAAGCTTGTAGTGATTCAAAGTAAACCCGTTGTTGAGTTTTTCGCCATTATACACGAGACTTAACTGATTGGGTGGGATCGCTCCTCTAGCCTGAATTTCGTCCATTACACTTCTTACTCTGTCCTTCGGGCAAATATCTAAACTGATCACATCGTCAGTTGGCATCTTGACATTGATACGTATAAGTAATACATCACAGTCTAAAACACATCCGTTTTTAATGTTGTAGTAACTCAATGGGTAATTATCTCTGAGAAGCTGATAACGAAAATAGAGACGTTGCATGCCGCACGGGATATCTTCGCTGAGCTGAATTCTCTCTTTAACATCCTTGATAGTGTTACTTTTAAAGAGGCTTAACATCACGTCTGTTCCAGTTGTCATCCTAACTAAGATTTCCACTGATACACATAAGAACAGGTTGGATTTGTTCTCAATGCCGTAGTAATTCAAAGAATGGACATCATCGAGTTGTTTATCGTTGAATTTCAAAACTTGCTGGTGCGGTGAAATTTTAGTTTTGGCATGAATTTCGTCCTTGACACTTCCGATAGTATCCTTTGGCTTCAGTACCAATGTCGTAACTCCTATCCTGCCCTCTGTAAGGATAGTGACTTCCAATCGATCCATTTGCTCAGCCGGGACTTTCAAGTTCAGTGTTGATTTATTCTGAATGTTGTAGTCGCTGACAGTTCGGTCGTCTTTCAATTTTTTTCTTTGAAAGAAAAGAGGCTGTTCTTCGGCTGGAAAGCCTTTCTTGTCTTTGATTTTCTCCTTCAAATTTGCGATAGTATCACTAGCATCTACTTTTAACGTGATGATCTCCTGGTACGTGACTTGTACAAAAATTTCTAAGGGAGAAACCTGCACATACCGTTCGCTGTGAGGGATTGGATTAACCTTCGATGATGAAATAAGCTCTTCTTTTTCCGGCCATGGCTTTTCGGGTGGAAAGGGACGACGAACGGATCTACGTCTGCATTCGCTTGCTAGGATTGGATGTTTCTTTGCTAAGATATCTCCGCACAAAGTAGAGGCCTCTTCTGGCTTGCTTGACACAAATGGTTCCTGCACAGTTGTATGGAAACCTATGAAGATTAAAAGCAAACGCCAAATAATTTAAAAAGGGAATATACTAAACGTAAGCTTTTTTCATCGGCGCTGTTCATTTTCACGGCATGCTAACTATTAACTAAAGAAAAGAAACCAACTCTTTAGAATGCATGCAATAAGCACTCCTCTCAGCGTTTAAAGACAATGGAACATTGCTTTTTGACTGTTCAATATTGATTCAAGATCTAATTTTTTGACACACCAAAAGAACACAGCAGAGGAGTAGAAATAACTTAACATTTACCTTTTCCCCTTTTCCTTAGTCAGTTTAAAGGGAACCTCCACTCTTACTACAGAATAAGTTTAAATCGAATAAAATTATGTTGATAAACAATTTCGTTCGAAATTTGTCTTTAAAAAAGTGTTTATATCAGGAAAAGAGAATTTTAAAATCGCTTATTTTCACTTTCAAATTTCGCGGGCGCCGCCATCTTGAATAATTGTGATGTGTTACGGTTGCTCTATTGTTTTGACACAAAGAGCTTTTGTTTAATAACAATAGGGCAACCATTACACGTCACAATTATTCAAGATGGCGACGCCCACAAAATTTGAAAACAAAAATAGGCCAATCTAAAAGTTATTTCTTTCGGATACAAACGCTTTCTTTAAAAATATTTTAGATTGACTTGACTGTAACAGTTATTTCCTGTTATTTAAAGTTATCTTTTTGTTGAAGTGGAGGTTCCCTTTAAAAAATGTATTCTTTTATACATTTGCCGATTTTTGCGTCTTTTACAGAAAGCATTTTTTTAGTTCTGAAAAAATCAATTCGTTGACATCATAATTTGCTAAATTTGTAAGATTGTAAGTTGCTCTTTTGTCATAAGAAAATATATTTTTTACTTCCAAAGTAAATTTACTGACCAATTATTTACTAAAATGATATCTTTATTGGTAAAGTTAGCGCTTTAAATACGAAACCTGTTACGTGTAAACAGGTTGATGTAATGGGAAAAGAGATTGAAAGTTCTTTTTCTGAGTAGGAGGTACAGAAATGAGAACAAGTAACTTACAAAACTGAAAAAAATGATAATTTATAAACGTGTGTTACAAGAAAAGTAAGGCATATAATTCATGTTATTTTTTTTTGAAAAAAAGAAGATCATCGCCGTTAAAGACCCAACTTATGCAGTTGATAAAGGAAGGCCCGAATTTAACTTGACGATGAAGTTCGAAACAGCACGAATTCAACTTGTTCGTGATGTTTTCGCTGGCGTCGACGTCATGACTGCTTGATAGGGACCTTACAAAACTCTGACGGCGAAGGAAACTAAAATGTGTAAAATCTCAATACGTTTAATAAGCAAAACAGCAACTCTGCATGTAAATCAAGCTTTTCTTTCAATTTGTTTGCTGTCCCTTCACAACTACTACGTGAAATGACCAAATTTTACGTTCTCTTGAGAACCTCAACGGCAGGGCGATTTGATTTTACTGTATCGTTCGGAGTTTTGA